TGCTTCAGAAACCAGACACAGGAAACATCTGACCATAATAAAAGGTTTCCAGTAAATTCTAGGTTTCCTCACTGAACAGAGTCACGTGCAGCAATGCTCTGTTGTGCTTTGGTCTATAATTCTGTTTGGTCACTTGTATAGAACCCCACATGGCCGCCTCTGGCCTGGGAACCAGGAACAGCTGGAACCCAGGATGTTTGAAATAAAAATGACATATCTCTTAGCCTGAGAGGGAGAAGTCTGGATATTCTTGCTCCGTTTCTTGCAAAACAAACTTCTCAATTTGTTGAACACTGAATTTTCCCTTTAGCTGTCAAAGTGGTTTATAACTCAAATGATCTTACATCCTTTAGAATAAACACAAAAAATGAAGGGCCGAACTGATTCTCAGATCTCTGCCTTAAATGCTCAAAGCAAAAAAAAAAAAAAAAAAAAAAATAATGCTCAAAGCAACATCCGTCCAAACTTACACAAAGCACGATATATGTCCCTAACTTCCTCCTGGAGTTTCTACCCTCTCACTTGCATCTTCTGCAGTTTAAAGGCACATGCTCTTGGGAGCATTCCACTACCACTGGAAATAATATTTACAAAAACTCCAACTTTTCCTTTCCAGTAAGACTGTCATCTGTTTGGTGCTTGCCCCTTGCTCACCATTATCACACTTTATTTTAAGTGCCTATTGACCTCTCTGCTTCCTTGGCTGGAAGGCAAAGACCAGCTCCTATTCAGCTCCATATCTCTAGTATCTGGCACCAGGCCTGGCACATAATAGGCACTTGATAATACTTGTGAGAAGGAAGGAAGAAGAAACGAATTTTTTAAAAGCCAGTCTATTTAGGAATTGAGGTTGCTGAGGTATATTTAAGTGTCATGAAGTATAACGATGACCTCAGTATAACTAAAGGGAAAAGCTGAATAGCTTTTCAGCATGTACGGTGAATAATGAAGGGAGATCAAGAACCTTCCATCCTTTTGCATTGGTACCAGTGTGTTAGAGGTTAAAATCTTAGAGCTGGATTAGAGAGTTCTTTTTTGACTTTTTTTTTTTTTCTGAAAATACAAGTTACATGTTCACTCTGGAAATTTTTCAAAAATACAGAGAATAAATATCATCTATAATTCTTTCACCCAGAGACAACTGTTGTTCACATTTAGTTAACTTGTAGCCTTTTTTCTTTACATTTAGATTGAAAACTCTAAAGGAAATTATTTCAGGACTACTTGTGAGTACAAAGAAAGTAAATTGAAATTGGAAAAACACTTGTCAACTGTAATAAAAATTTGAGATGCTGTTTTTATTGTTGCTCATCTGGGCAGTCAACCCCTCAGAAAGGCTTTCCTAATCTTCATCCAGGTGACTGTGATCTCTCACCTAGAACGCGCCTAGGGCCCTTTCCTTATTCCCCCTGCACTGCTTTGTGGGAATGCTTTTATCTTTCGAGGATGAGGCCAGGCTCGAACATCTGAAGCTTCATGGTATAAGGACATTTCAAGGTTGACTTGAATGAGAATCTGTTATGCAGGATGGATCTCTCCCCTCACCAATTTGTGAAATATCACTCAGATAACATCACCTTTGAAAGAAAGCAAAGACATTTACTAGTTTATTCCTTTGTTTAGCGAACATATTGACCACCTTCTGTGTGTCAGTCACTGTCCTAGGCATCAAAGCCTCAAAATGAACAGACAATCCTTATCCTCAGGGAACTTGCAGTTTAAAGAGAGAAAAAGACGAGTAAACAAGGATTATAATGCAGTATAATAAATGCCATAATAGCAGTGCAGTGACAGCCTAAAGATAAGGGGCAGAACGGATCAGAGAAGCCTTCAAGAAGTGGGGATGATTGCCCTGGGTCTTAATAGAAAAGTGGGAGTTTTTAATGCAAACAGGCAGAGAAAACAGTATGTTTGGTGTCTGAAGACACAAAGATACATATCTCTTTGGAGAAATAGAAGTTGTTTGGCATATCTGGAGCATGAGGCATGAGGCCAAAATGGTAAAGATCTTGAAGGTCAGAGCTTGGAGTTTATCTTACAGGCTACGGGAAGCCACTGAAGCATTTTAATCAAGAGCAAAGACGTAGTCAGGTATACTTTTTAGAAAAATCATGCAAGAGTATGAAGGATGATGGAAGTGGGCTAAGCTGGAGGTAGGCCTGTGGTTAAGGGGCGTATCAGAACAGTCCTAGCAAGAAAAGGATAGGCAGATGTCCACAAAAGGCAAATCTACAGAGACAGAAAGTAAATCAGTGGTTGCCTGGGGCTGGAGGTGGGAACAGGGCATGACTGGGTACCTGGGATCTTCTGGGTGATAGAAATGTTCTAAAGCTGCATATGTTGATGGTTAAACAACTCTGTAAATTTTCTAAAAATCATTGAATTGTACACTTAAAATGAGTGAATTTTATAGTATGTAAATTATACCTCAATAAAGCTCTTTTAAAAAGAGAGAAAAATAGGGGCTTCTCTTCTGAAAGGGCACAGTAACATTGAGAGGAAACAGATGTGGGAAACATTGATAAAGAAGTAGAATTTGTAAGAGATGTTGATTGTATCTCATACAAGTTAGGATGGTCACCTATCTGATTAGACAAGTGTTCTAATTGTGCTCCTACATTTTTGTGAAAGAAAAAAAAAAGTCAGCCTTACCTTTTACTTGGTAGGTTTCAAAGCATATGGGTCTGCCCTTAACTGGCAGTACAGAATATCTGCCTCTGGATACTCACCAAAAATTGTATCCTGCAGGGCTTCCCTGGTGGCGCAGTGGTCGAGAGTCCGCCTGCCAATGCAGGGGACACGGGTTCGTGCCCCGGTCTGGGAAGATCCCACATGCCGCGGAGCGGCCGGGCCCGTGAGCCATGGCCACTGAGCCTGCGCGTCCGGAGCCTGTGCTCCGCAACGGGAGAGGCCACAGCGGTGAGAGACCCGCGTACCGCAAAAAA